TACAGGGGTAAAATGCCTCAACCAAATTGGCAAAAAACGGGTTACTACACTGAATAAAAATCAAGAAACTTTTTTTTAAACGAATCCTTGTGCTTTCCCGTTAATTAAAAGTGCTGCGCGATTTTCCATAAGTGAACATATTAAATAAAAATAATATTTTTAGTTTACCCGGCAGCATATAACGTTAAATTTGTACACAGTTTCGTTCCTATTGTGATTACAGTTTCAAATTCAATAAGCGCGCAGCACTTTTCTATTAGGTTTTATCTTTAGCTTTCTATTTCAGTTGATTTTTTTTAGAAATATCGTCTCTGGTAACCCGCTTTTTATGAATTTAGAATTGGTAACTATGGTTTCGATAAATTGTCAATGTTATTCAAGCGCACTGAAGACTCGAACAATCATCAAAGAACCGCAACTCTGTTGTCACAGTTGACGATGCGGGAGTATTGACATTATTAAACCTCAACATAAATTGGTCTTATTGACAATATCTGTTGAAATCGTTTGACCTTTGTAGTAACCGACGATAGTAAAACAAGTTGTCTGTGTTTGATGCCCCTCTTTAGGCTTCAATTGTATGTAGAATGTTGAATTTTCCCGTAAAAAGGACTGACGAAATATGTGCAGTTCCACCTTCATAAATAATTTGTACTACCAATCTCTATACAAATTTGGAGAGTAGTCTTATGGTGTATATGTTGGTTGTCCGAGTTCTATATATATGTTATGTTATGTGTTGTCCTTGGTTCTTTTTTATCAACCAATTACTTTCCTCCAGCCCCAGGTGATTTATATTCATATCAGACTATTTATTTTGTGTATAGCAAGATCTTGCTATATAAATCACTGATCTCTTACTATATAAATCCTTGATCTCTAACTATACAAATCCTTTATTAATTATGGGTTTGTAAATTTATGCTAATGGTATGCATTAAAAATTGTATAACAGAAGAATAAAAGAAAACAAGCAGTTCTGACATATTCAGTTGCAGAATATGTTTGGAAATGAGTATGACAAGTTCAATCAGAAGTCTTGAAAAGTATAGATAACCACTTTATTTTAATTGGAAGAGAATTTGGTATTCAGGGTGAGGAAAATGGAATGTTTCCTTTCATCTGTTGCTACACAGACATATTTTTTTATGAGGGTTGCTGTGTGAAAAATAATTTTCACTTTTTTTCCTTCATTTTGTGTTTTTCCAGTTCTTACCAGGCAATAATATTCATTTTCAAAAATGATGTCCAAGTCAGTACTCGCATAGTCATTTCATCTATATCATGTACATTGTATATTGTGTTATCAAGCATCGCATTTCATTTTGTGACAACAAAAATGAATTCAGTGGCGGATCCAGGGAGTGGAACCCCCCCTTTTTTTTGACGATCAATGCATTTGAATGGGAACATATAGTTGGAACCCCCTCTTTATCCTGGGTTAGGTACCCCCCTTTTATAAATGGCTGGATCCGCCCCTGGAATTTGTGTTGTTGTGTTACAGTATTAAAGGGACTATTTGTTCAGTGGCTTCCTTTACTTTGGTTCATGTCTGTCATATATGTTTTATTATACATTAGGCTGTTAACTTTCTCTATTGAATTCTTTTTTTTATGTCTAAGCCATTTTTAGCCCAATATACAGTATGGATTTTCTCATTGTCAAAGGTGGTAGTTGCCTATAGTATAATTGCTAAATTCTATAGCTATTTCATTTGAACTTTGGTGGATAGTTGTCTCAATGGCGATCATACTAATTTTGATATAAAAACAGACAAATGGCATTAAAGTATTTGTGTGACCATGTATTGCTTACAGATTTCTTGTTGACCCCTCTTTACAAAAATCTGGATAAACTTATATATTATAATAACCAACATTAGAATTATTTAAAATGGGATTTCACATATATATATATAGATATGTCAATTTTCAACCTTTTATTATTAAAAAATGATTTATTATTTAAAATAAAAACAGTTTATAAAACATGTAAAATCAGGATACCCAGCAATTTTTCAAAACTGTAAATACTGAAATTTTTGCATGCATTTATTATTGCAATTATTCAAGAATGGATGCCTTGGCTATTATCTGCTCTTTGGTTGGGTTGTCTCTTTAATGTGCATATTCCCCAACTTCCATTCTCAATTTTACAAAAAAAATGTTTATTTATTGTGATTTCAAATAATTCTGCATAAATGTGTATGTTTCAGTTATAAATATGCAAGTTCTTTTTATTGCGATACTAACCTAGTCACGTTATTCGCATTCAATAATTTCTGAATTTACAGTATATAAAGTTTGAGTGGTTTGCAAAAAGGCAATATGTGTAATGGAACTTTACAGAAGAAAAATATATAAGCATAGACAATGATAGAAGTCTCATCTGTGTCTTATCAGCTGATAGACCTATGTTTGTCATGTGACTGTGACTAATGAAACGCGTTTTTTTTCATTATTTACACATTAAAATTTAATTCAAAATTGAATTATAAGGAATTACCATAATATTTTTTTCCCTTTCGATTCGGAATGACATCTAACATGTGGTGCATACTTTTAATAACCTGCTGGAGAGTTGTTCTGCTATGCGAGATATTCAGTGTGCACCACATCATTGATGCTTTTTCTTCATAGACAGAAAAAAAATATTACACTCATTCCTTATTTTATCATGATTTTTGTGAGCCAAATTTTGTTTATTCATGTTATAGAGAATATATTTTATTAGTATCATACCATACGTGTATGATCAACACGTGACTTTGAATAATGCAGTACATTTTCATCTAAATATTCAAGGAAGGACTAGTAATCCCGAACACCATGCGACGATTAATCCTATTATTCCCCTGCGCATGAACTTTTGATGTTATTGATTTGTTTGTAAGTTTTTGTCCGAATATAATAATGTCCCAGAGAATATCTCTGACAAATTAAACTTAGGATGACCTTTTATATCTAACATAAAACGTCTGTTAATTTTCATTTAATTGCAAGGAAGGACGAGTAACCTTCAAAATTAACAACTATCAATGAATAACTCTATTTGTCACCGCTGAATACCTTTCGAGCTTCTTGATTTGTACACGAGTTATAAAAAATGAGGTCACAAAGGTATATAATCAAAATATCAACGATCAGAGAGTAAGTCATCGAGTGATGAATAAACAAAGCCTGGAAATTCCTCTTCTTACATGTCTTATGCCAAGAATATTTCTCAAAAACGGTCCTTTTCAGCTCCATCGCTATTTTACAGAAAAGTCTACCTTTGTTGTATAAAAGAAATGCTCAAAATTAATTTATTAAAGGTTTTTAAATCTGTTACTACAGTCAGGTATTTTGTAATGGTTCAAAAGACCTGTACACTGTTAGTTCGAAATGATGAATCAATTGTTGCATCTGAGTAACTATACATATCACAAATTATCAACCCTAAAAAAGTTATTTGCACTTTGGGCTTCCCATCTGGGAAATAACCGTTATGGGTTGACAATTATGGAAATTTACCTTTTCTACGGGTCATAATTGTATATTATACATTTGTTGAAAGTTTCATTTGTTACAAGTTACCATTTTGGGTGTGTTCCTTTTAATGATAAAGTTTCCTTAATTTTAAAGAGCTTATGAACGAGAAACTCAATATATTCAAAATGTTTAAGTAGATAAAATTTGTTCGTACTTGACTTAATTTTAAAATCCTTTAAAAAAATGTCAGACACGAGCTTCTTGATGTATGCACAAGCAAGTCTATACATAGTTTATTTTTTCCAAATACTGTTTTGTTTAATGTCCTTTATGATTGCTGTTTTTGTTGTTGTTGAAACGATTATCATATTTCATTGCACATGTTGCAGGATTGTTCTTAAATTTGACTAAATATAAAATATTGATTAAATGTGATGATTATAGATCATATTGTCATTTTTTTTCTAAACTGATACTCTGTCAATCTTTTACATATATGTAGGCATATTATTATTTTGAACAATTACCACCACAGTCATATGATAAAGTCTATTATGTTAAACACACAGTAAAAACACTGTAAATGTTTAATTGATATCTCTAGTGCTACTCATTAGAAATAGCCATACATGTATTTTTCTAACATGAATTGGATGATACAGGTGTATTTTTACAATGCATGATCAGCAATAAATATACATTATAATATCTCGCAACCATGTCTCAAAATGTTTTTTTTTATTTACTAAAGGAACGTATTCAGACTCTAGAAAAAATAGTAAAGCAGTCGTTTAAGTTCGGTCTCTACAGTATAAGTTATATTCGTCAATAAATAAGTGAAAGGACACATTTGATTGCAACTTATCTTTATTCATTAAAGTTAAATGAAGGACGATAACCACAGCCAAGTCTCTCTTAATTTATGCTAAGAATAAGAACAAAACAGTCGTTTAGACAAAAACAACAACAACCTGTATGATATGAAACGCACCATCTTTTGTCGCACAAAAGATTCTGTCGTGAACATTTATTATTCCACAGAAATGACGTCAGATAAAAACAAACATACTACTTCAGCGACAGAAAATTGAGACAAAATATAATTCATAACATACCTTACTCAAATTGACTGTAAACATATTTAAAAGAACACTTTAAAACAAATATAGGTTTCAACTCAATTTAATTAGTGTCGGTTAAAATCGGTATTCAATGAAAGTCCCGTTTGATTATATAGATCCTCACGTATTCCAGGTATTTATACTGTACATAATCAGCTCAAAAATATTGGCTTTAAGTGTTCTTGATGAAGGTTAAATTGGCCTTTTATAAATCATCACAAATCTATTTTGCGTGTAAAATGTAAATATGTAAATCAATAATCTCACATGGAAAATAACTCGTTTACTTTACCGCACGATACTTTCTCTATCAATTACCGGACCCTCACATAAGACTTCAGATCGGAGATTTTAGCATTGATTTCAATAAGTTAATTGACTAACTAATTAATTGATAAAGTGTATCATAAACCAACAATGGATAGTCGATTTTTATTGTAAGCAACTTCTTGCTTCACAATAGTTCCAAAGCTGAAATAATCTTCTCTAAGTATCAAATGTGTGCAACATCTGCAATACATATATATTTAGAGGACAAACAGTAGAGTGGTTGCAACAATTCACAAAATCTGTCCAACTACCACTGAAATATGTTTTGATATTATGTTTCTTTATAATAAGAGGTATAACTTATTGACGTTTATTTTAATTTAAAAAAAGAAATAAGACCAATTGTCACCGAACGCCGCTATGTGATGCGCACTTTATCGTTGTTAAAAGTTGTCAACATTTGACACATGTTGTTGATAAAGTACTGCTAATTTCAAAAACTTCACGAAAATTATATTAAAGCATTCAAATGTGTTATACTATCAAATGTGTTCGTACATGAACTTCCACTCAAGTTGATAGTAAAAATCGCCTTGTCAACATTCTCATTTATTCACAATTTAAACGGTCCTACATAATGCAAGTCATTTGATCAATTCATTTTAAAGTGTTTTGCTATCATGTGTTCATTTCACATTGTATCTCAATTATTAGACATTTAACTAAAAAACCTGAATACTTTAAACTATTCATTAGATATATTGTTTGTCAGGGACGTACACATTTGCCCATTAATCCAGGTAAGTTACTAACATAATTGACAGATATTCATGTTATAAAGTGAGATATTCTATTATTTTGTTCAAATGATAATATACACAGTGGTATGTCCCTGAGATACACACAAATGATCGAGGCGAGGATGAGGGCAATACTTATAATCAAAGGGACAACAAACTTGGCAATATACTCATAAGTGTTTTATTATATCAAACAAATCAACTTTCTGAATTGACTACATGCACACAATCGAATAACCCAAATAGTCAAATAGACATGCAAAAGATGAACTATCAGGTTTTTTTAATCAGTAATAAATATTTTATATATATATATATATATATATATAGATTGCCTAACAATGTAATTTTAACACACTATTTAGTATGTAAATATAAGAATGTTTAAAATATTTACAAAATGATGAAAATAAACGCAATATTTCGCTAGACTAACTAGCTTTATCAAGCGTGCATCTATCCAGGTGAAATCGGATGTAGGATTTCACCTGGATAGATGCACGCTTGATAAAGGTAGTTAGTCTAGCGAAATATTGCGTTTATTTTCATCATTTTGTAAATATTTTAAACATTCTTATATTTACATACTAAATAGTGTGTTAAAATTACATTGTTAGGCAATCTATAATTTTATTTGTGTAATTGAATTAATCTCTATACTGATTAATCGACACTCCCATAGATTTGTATGTCATGTGCTGCTATTTATAGGCACTTATATATATATATATATATAAAGTCTCTGAATGATTGTATAATAAAAACTATAACACAATTTTCCATACGTTTCGGCCATTACGACCTTCTTCATTGGAATAAATTACAACATTGAAAAAACAATTACATCGACTGGATACATTACGTTATAATAACTACTATGACGTTTATTTGCCGCGTATTTTTTTTTTTTTTTTTTTTTTTTTTTATAAATATATTATCACTATCTTTCATACATTGTGTTGAGTCCATCAGGCTCTACAGTTTTTATTTTTTTTTATCCAAAAGGCTTCTTTAGTTTTTCTGTAAATTTCTGTTCCAAATACTCTTTCTATGGCGGTAACTTTTAATTTTTTCATCGAATGATTATGCTGAATGAAGTGGTTTGCTACCGGATCGTCTATTTTGTTTGTTCGTATTTTTGAAAAAGTTCAATAGCATCCATTGATAAAGTGAATCACCTGTTTGTCCTACATATATAAGTTTTTCGTATTTTGTACAGTTAATTGCATATACTACGCCCACGGTTTTACAGTTTATTTGTCCCTGAATGGTATATTCTTTCCCGGTGTTGTCACAAAATACCTTGGTTTCATTTATGTGTGAGCATAATGCACAATTTTTACCGCATGGTCCACAGCCATTAGTTTGTTTATAAAATTGTAAATTGTGCTTCTTGTGTACTAAGATATCTTTTATGTTGTTGTCGCGTTTAAATTCTACGATAGGCGGATCGGGGAATATTTTCTTTAGCCTGTTAGATTGATGGAGAATTTTAAGATTTTTTCTGAGAATTGAATGTATATTTGAGAGCGCTTTGGAAAAAGTAATCACCAAGGGTACTCTGTCGTTTTCTTTCTTTGGTTTGTACTGTAATAGATCGTCTCGGTTTAGAATGTCGACTTTTATTAATTAAACTTCAGTTTACGAGTTATTGTATCCACTTTTTTTAGGTGCGTTTTTATTTCTTCTCTTCTTATTTTGTAATTTTCTTCTGTTGAGCAAATTCTTTTGACACGAATACCGAGTCCATATGGTATAGCATTTTTTACAGAATTTGGGTGGCTTGACGAAACATGTAAGTACTGGTGTTTATCTGTCGATTTTGTGAAAAAATCTGTTTTAAGTTGTCCGTTTTCTATGTTTACAAACATATCAAGAAATTCGATTTTTTCAGTTGAGTAACGCATTTCTGTTTTAATTCGCGGAAATAAATTATTGGACAATTCGTGAAATTTTTTTAATTCATCTAAACCATGTTCCCATATTCCCCAGATGTCATCAACATATCTCCAATATGAAAACGGGTGTAATTGCTGTTTTAAAATAAATTTTCCTCCCATTGTCCGAGGTAGGTGCAAGCATAATTCATGCCTAGATGGGAACCAATAGCTGTTCCTTCTGTTTGTAAAAAGTGCTTTCCGTTAAAGCTAAAATTATTATTTTCAATGACTAAGTCCATCATTTTAAGAACATCTTCAGTTGGGATTGATATATCAGATCGATTTTCTAATGCTGTTTTAAATGCTTCTCGTGCTTCTTTTCGTTGTACACTTGGATATAATTTAGTTACATCTAAACAAAACATTATTGCGTTGTCTGGTAATGGCTGTTGGATTGCATTTAGTTTGTTTAAAAAATCTGTTGTGTCTTTAATATAGGTGGGCAAGTTTCGAACATTTTCCGAAAGTTCGTTTTCCACTATTTCCGCGATCTTTTCTGTCGGATGGTTCCGCCCATTAATAATTGTTCTTACCGGATGAATTTTTTTGTGCAATTTTGGATTTGCTTGTACTTTTCCAGGACATGTTCCTTTCGGTAGTAGATATTTTTTCATGTCTTTGTCTATTATTTCTCTTTTACATACATTTTCTACAAGTTTCTTTACTTTATTTTCATTTTTCTGTGTGAGATCTTTATCTATGGCTTTGTAAGTACGTATCGTTGTTATTTAATTCTTTTTCGACTTCTAGTTTATAGTCTTCCGTGTTCATTATAACAACGCCGGAGGATTTATCGCTCGGTCGTATCACGATGCTTGTATCATATAACAGTTCTCGCATTGCCTTTTCTTCTTCTGTAGTAATATTCATTTTAAATTTTCGGCTCTATCTACTTAAAATTTCATCTTTTACGGTCTGAATATATTCATCTAACCATCGTTCTCTTCCGGGTGAGGGTGTGAAATTACTTGATTTTTTGAATTTAGAATATTCGTTTTGACAATTTTCTTTTTCCTCGTTTGCTTCAAAAAAATATTCGCGGATACGCATTCTTCTTTTCCATATTTTCAAATCGGCTATAAGTTTTCCCATGTCTACTTTTCTTCTAGTCGGCACAAACTTAAAACCTTTCGACACAGTGTTTTTTGTGCGTTCGTTAGCTAAATTAACTGTACAAAATGAGAAAAACTTATATATGTAGGACAAACAGGTGATACACTTTATCAACGGATGCTATTGAACTTTTCAAAACTACGAACAAACAAAACAGACGATCCGGTAGCAAACCACTTCATTCAGCATAATCATTCGATGAAAAATTTAAAAGTTACCGCCATAGAAAGAGTATTTGGAACAGAAACGTACAGAAAAACTAAAGAAGCCTTTTGGATAAAAAATTAAAAACTTTAGAGCCTGATGGACTCAACACAATGTATGAAAGATAGTGAAAATATTTATAAAAAAAAAAAGAAGAAAAATACGCGGCAAATAAACGTCAAAGTAGTTATTATAACGTAATGTATCCAAGCGATGTAATTGTTGTTTCAATGTTGTAATTTATTCCAATTAAGAAGGCTGTAATAGCCGAAATGTATGGAAAATTGTGTTATAGTTTTTATTATATATATATATATAATCACGTCTCAAATGAACTTCTCTAGACTCTAGAAAAAATAGAAAAGCTATCTTTTAAGTTCGATATCTACAGCAAAAACTATATTCGTCAATAAATAAGTTATATGAATTGACACATTTGATTGCAGCTTATCTTTATTCGTTAAATGAGGGACGTAAAAAAAAAACCAACAGACAGGCTTCTCACAATTTATGGATCAAGCTTATAAAGAATTAAAAACACTTTCAAATTATTTACTCCGATTGCATTTAAAATGGCAAATTAAAGTAATTATCCTCCATGGTTTTAAATATGATTTTAACATTTATTTAAAACCTAATTCAAACTTAAGGCTTCTAACAATCTCGGTTTATAAAGCTATTTTTGCACATCGAGTGTAAGTGTTAAATATGAAATTTGAAAATTATTTTGATATACCATATTCTATATCAATCAAAAAGTGCATAAAAGCGTTTCTGAATAGTACGACAAATGAAAATTAAAAATAGATGGAAAGTGTTTATAATGAACGCGATTAGCTGCTGCATTCTTTATAACTTGAAAGGACCAGACGCAAACATCGTTCTTTATGTTTTGAGCTTTATTTTAATTATTTCCGTAAGACTTTATTAATCAATATTTGCACCATTGTAAACGTATCAAGTTTCTTATTTTGAATTGTGTTGCTATGGTTCTATCGATAGGCAGATAATACTACCTTCGCACAAATTGTTTTAATATCATGTTTTCCCACTCAAGCGATACAGCACAATTGACTTAACTTCTTTCAGAAATACAAACAAGAAATTAAACGTTTCTTTATCAATTCAGTTTGGTTCATTAAATAACTTTTATACATTAAACAACCTATTGATTTCGCTAGATTTTGACAAGAGATAGCATAAAGTTCCATGGTTTTTTGTATAATGAATTTCTTTACTTTTCTTTTTGACAGTTATCATAGGAAACGTATTTCCAAAAAATTCATTAAAATCATTTTTTATGCTTTTTGATTAACGTGGGGTTTTTATGTATTTTTTGTGATTGATTTAATGTACACACCATTAATTTTTTAGCATTCATAGATGTAAGTCAGCTATTGGATATAAGTATGGTTAGGCTTTTCGTCACGATTAAAAGCAATTTTAATGAATGGCGTCGCAGGTAGGTTAAGGAACTTTGAAACGTTAATAGTGGCAAAAATATGATATATCAAGAATAAAATTGTTTAAACCGAAATTCAGGAATCTTAGTTGTTGAATTTATATATTCGTGTAGTAAGGATTCAGTAAACCGAAATTTTGGTCATGATCGCCTAGATCACGTGACTTCTACAGGGGTAAAATGCCTTAACCAAATTGGCAAAAAACGGGTTACTACACTGAATAAAAATCAAGAAATTTTTTTTTAAACGAATCCTTGTGCTTTCCCGTTAATTAAAAGTG